GTTGCTCAGCAGAGTTAGGTTATGTTGTGCCACATACTGGTGCAGAAAGCTGAAAAATCTAGGGCAGCATGAAAATGTATTACGCTGTAATAAATTACTGCAACTGAGATAGTGTTCAGAATATAGGAAGCTTGGAAGCTTAGTAGGAAGTCAGTGTACTGAAATATGTAGACCTAGGGAAATGTGTCTTTGGGAGGGTCTAGATATCTGAGGATTTGTTGCTTGCACAGTAAAAAATATGCAGATGAGGAGTATCTCTCAACTGGCTGTGTATTTTATGCTATAGATGTATCTGACCATGCCGACAAGGATTTAACACATGCAACCGTGTGCTTCATGGTTAAGGATTATGAGTATGGATGATAGCTGGGCTTGAGCACTGTGTGTTAGATTGCTGACATGAATTCTTAGAGTAAAACTTGTCACTTTTTAACTGGACTTTAATAATTAATAGTCAAGTGTCTTTCCTGCCATAATCCTTTGCAGAGACAGAAGAAAACGATACAGCGTCAGGTTTTGGAGCATGTTCTCCATGTCTCTGCCATGGGATAGGTCAGACATTTCCTTTTTTAGTTCATTAGTTCCAATTACTTTGGACTACCTGTTCAAGCTGAAAGCATTAGTGAGGAAATCAGGCTTTATTAAGATGCACTTCTCACCTGTTATGGTCCTAGCTATAGATTTGATCTTGCCATTTTCATCCACGATGTAGTCATATATTTTTTTTCTCATTCCTTATCTTTCCCTTTCAGCAGTAAAGACATGGTTTGTGTATCTACTGGGAGGGACCTGAAGTAGTGCTGGGTATGCCCTGCCCTTACATGCCCATGCTGTGAGTCTGAAGGGGGCAAAACAAAGCCTACTATGTTACAGGGTACAACAAATGGGAAAAAGTTATTTTTATTTTAAATGCTACAAACGTGTCAATACTGCAGGCACTGCTAAGTAATATTTATTTCATAAATAAGATCACTTTCAAAATTACTTTTGCCTTCCTGGAATTTGCTGATGCACTTATTAGAACTCAGCCTGGAGTAAGCGACACAGGCATCTGTCCTAGAGATAAACAGACCTCTTCAAAGCACTGTTTTGATTCATTCCTAGAGCTTGCTTATTATGTGTGTTGGATGGAGACTGGAGACCTCTGAATAATTATCATGGTTGTGTAATTAAAGACTAGCATAATACATATGCACAAAAGAGTAAGATTCAGATAAAATACACACTGTCGCATTTTTCATTTTATTTTAGTGCATTGACTCTGCAGTTATTTTTGGCAGTTGTTCTTTGGTTTTGATTTTATTTTATTTTTTTAGTTAGAAGATTATAGACACTGTATTGTGTGACATTTTTTATCATGCTTACAGGTAAAATATTTAGAGGTAGAAAGTTGAGACCCATCTACAACTAAAGGTCCGTTTTACTTTGTGATCCTTCAAAATCTGATCCTAATAGGCATTTGTGATTTTTTCATTATGCTGAACATGTCCACTTTGAGGAAGTCCATGGCATGGATGAATGTATAGAAAACAGCCATCGAGGACTGAGATTTATAGTTTTGGGACCCATTTCTTCTCTAAGAGCTCTTATTACTAAAACTATTTTTCTTTCTTTCAAGACTGGAGAATTCTAAGAACTGAAATATGCTGCCATGTACACCAGCAGCTAACGAAGGAGCTGCTGTCTGCACACAGCAGAAATAAAACCAACGTGAGCAGGCTGGACTTAATCTTTTGCTGACTTAATGATTATTCTGTAGCCAAAGGCAGTGCCTGGTAGCTGGAGATTTCTCTTTTATCCATAATGCAGTTTATCTAAGTGGGTCTTAGGAGCTTTGTCTTCTTTAGGAAAATATCCCAGCAAATCTTCCAGACTTGCTGGATTTTCAGACTTCTTTTCCAAGTTATTTTTTATGCTTTATTGCTCTGTATTTTAGTTCATGGTCCTAGTCCCAGAACTTTTTTGCCAAGTTCTCATGTGCTGCTAAGGACCTTTATGAATTGTTTATGTTGTTAAGATTGTTTGGCAATAGATTGGTGTCCTGTGGAAACAATGCAAAAGGCAAATCCAGGGGATGGAACAGTATCGGCTCACAAAACCAGGAGAACCTGTTCATGCTGTGAAATGAGGAAACAGAATTGCGTGTGTGTGCAGAAGCACCAGTCGCCTTGGAAGAAATTGCTGAATTTAGAAAACAATTTCAAATCTGCTGAGTACAAATGAGTTAGTACTGAAATGAAAGCTACTGAGAAAAATGGTAATAGCCCTTTTATTTAGGAGCTAAAATGTTAGCCTTTACTTGTGTTTTATCACCCACACTGCAAAGTCTGTAGTCAGCATGCCTTATACTTATGCACTGCCACAACATACTCGTAAAAGCTGTTGCGTCTAAAATTTCTTTTACTAGATTTATCTTGCTCAAGTGCTATAATGGGAAGTGTTACAGTTGCCTGGTAAAGGGTTTTGATTAAATCGATCTTCCTGTGTCTAATGTAGATCTGTTTTAATCTTGAAAATATATTGTGTGCCCCTTAAAAGGTTAGAAAGATGCAGCATCTGAACAAGCCTGCCCTGCATAGCCTTGCTGCCACGCTAGGATTTCCTTCTCCCTTTTTCCACCTGTGTCCGTGTGCACAGCTCCTTGGCAGCTTACAGAACAAAGTAGCAAAGAAGAAAATCTCCCCTCCCAGGGATTTGCTGCTTTAGTAGCATAGTTAAAATATAACATACATATGTTAATAAAGGGCAATTAAATTCAATATGTAGGCTGTGTCCTCTTCTGAACTCACGCCTTCTGACCTCTAAGGCTGTAATCTCAGGAATGTTTGAAGCTGGAATAAACTACCATCGTGGCAAAAGCAGCAGTCCTGCCCTTTTGCTCGCCTGCCAGTTGGTTTTGCCAACTCAGCTCTGCTATGGCTATATAGTAAACCAGATCAGGGCACACATCTGACTGAAAAATACTTCCTTACCCCTATTTAGGATATAAGCTATACCTTTGCATTCATATTTTCTCTTCAAAAAGATGTTAAAATTGGGTATTGAAGCATCTGACCTCTTCACTTACATGTAGTGCATGTATCTAAAAGACACAAATAGAAAGAGACAACAAAAATTCTTGCTTTGAAGGAATGCTATAGATTCTATTTAATCAATTCACTAATATATCACTAGAATGGTTTTTTTCATTGAAGTTAATTCTTTTTCTTTTCAATTAAGCCTTGCATTTTTTTAAGGAAGTGGTTATGAAATAAAACAAACTCTTCTCTCCTAGTGTGTATTACTAAAAAGTGAGTTGTTTTAACCATATAAAGCTTTATTTTTTGAAAAATACCCCCGACCTTGGCATTTTGGATGTTTTTGTTTGGTTTGAGGTGTTTTTTTCTCCTAGGATCTGTTTTGGACTTACTGGATATACATGTAATTTTATATTTCAATGTATTGATTTGCTTGGATAGGTGAACAAGTACTCTTTTAAATACAGGATACAAATGTTGGAGTTCTGAGCAGCTGTAGAAGCCAAAATCATCAACCAATGAGCATTACAAATCAGTGAGCTCATTTGAACTTCAGTGCTTACTATGGCTTCTAACAGAAATCAAGTACTATTCTTTGAACATCATGTTTGACTGCCAAAAATGCTCGATAGATGAACTAAATGTGTACAGAAAATAATGGTAGTCCACTTATAGAAAATACAACATTAGCACATTGGATAAGGGAAATAGGGTCTTTAGTTTTGAGTAGGCACTGTGGGAACATGAGATTTTTGACAGTAAGATTACAGAAAACTCTGTAATACAGATAACAGCAAGCTTTTAATGATGTGTATTTATTTTAATTCCAGAACAGGAATATTAAAAAGCTTAATTTATACCAGTGAACTCCATTCTCTCCTTTAGTTTTATGTTCAACAGCCTAAGAACAAGATGGTTCAAGAGACATAATTATTAAGACAGAATTTTATTACCTTTTCTATGGATACTGCTTTTTCTCTGAGGATTTTAAATACTAGTTTTTCAAGCAAGAATGTCTTTTACTGACCAGCATGTGAAAAACATTGTTCCAGGAATTGTGGAAGCATATTACAATGAAGGTTTCAGTTTGCAGGGTAGAATGTTATACCACTCTTTATAAATAGTAGCATAATATAGTATACAACACCCTCCCTTTTTTAATGATAGTGATTTTTTAGCAGCAGAATGACATTGTTATGCTGTCTTATGTTGTACAGTACTCTGGGTACATGGGCACTGGTAGTTTGTTTCCTCCATGGAATTGTTCCTGAACTTTGAAACTGGTTGTTCTAGTAGGCCTGCTAAAGACTGATTCAGGATTTTGTTTTTCTTTTCTTTTTCCCTTTTACTTACCAAAAGCAGAAGCAGAACTACAGTGAATTAAAAATTTGGGATTCAAACAATACAGACCAGCCCTGACTCAGGTTTTTGAGTGCTCTACAGTGGAAGTGTTACCCTAGCTTGCCTTTGTGTTTTCTTGCACCTAGTATACTTTCCTTAAACCTGTCAGGTTAATGTTAGACATTTGAAGAATTAGTTAGTACTTTCTGGCACAAAGGTGCCTGCTGGTGTCTTGAGCATTGCTTGCTTCTGCTCTGATATTAAGGTAGCACAGTGACAGAAAGCAGATGATGGAAGCTGCAAACCAAAAATCTCTGAAACAATTTAATTTCTCCAGTGTAAGCATTAATACTGCTTTATTTCTAAGTTCTCATTTAAATGATAATGTTTAGAATTATGTATTACTTGCATGTATATTTTTAGAAATATTTAAAAGCCTCTTTGCATAGCTGTACTGGTGACAACAGCAGTTGCAAAATTAAGTGTATAATTTTAAACAACTGTAGACATATTTATAATTTTTTTTTTTCTTATAAAAAATTCTAAGAAGAAGAAATTTAGAATTGGATGCTGGAATTTATATAACAAGAAATGAGCCTATCAATAACACTTGTCTTTTCTTCTTTTTTTTCTTTCTTCTAGGACCGGAATAGGCCCTATGACACTTTTAACTTGCACTCTTTGGAAAATTCCTTAATGGATATGATAAGGACTGATCATGAGCCTCTGAAAGGTAAACACTACCCTCCCAGTGGCCCACCAATGAGTTTCGCTGATATAATGTGGAGGAATCATTTTACAGGTTAGGAATATTCATATGTCCATGCTTGCTTGGTGTTTAAACAAAAATCAGCTTTTCAGTATTTCTATAAACTTTTTGTTAATGAATGAGTTTCCAGTTATGTGAAATTTCTGTTTTCCCATCTTAAGATAAACTTCTCTACTAGGTGAAATAAGGTGAAATGTGTATCCATTTATTGTAAGTGTACAATCACAGTATTATCTGACTGGCATATCTGAAACATGGGATTTTATGTCAGCAAATTGTAGAGCAAGATCTCTTGCTGCAGTCACTTCACAAAAATGTGTCATACAACTAGAGTCCAGTTTTTTTGCCATCTTGCTGGGTACAGGTTTCTTTCACAGCTCAACCAAACTGGATTCTGTACCATCTTCTAACCTGTGCTTTCCACTGTTACATTGAAATTTGCTGTGCCATAGACTTCATGTTTCTTTATTCATTATTCATCTGTCTAAAATGGCAAGGAATACAGTCTGTTCTTATATATATTCTTATATGTCTATTCTGATCATAAAACTCTGAAATAAGGGTTAAAGTCAAACTTAAAAAGCCAAGCTCAACAAAATTGATGTTTCTACTGGATATGTGTTTCATGTGGCTGGCATTAGAACACGAAATAAAATTCAAATTGCTTGTAAGTACAGTTATATATTTATTGTGTCTTGTTAGAGACATTGTAATTTAGCTAAAACTCCCATGATTTTTATGGGGTTTTTCAGTATTTATTTACATATACAAATCGAGACTAATTTTTTAAGAATTAATTTCTGTATGAAAAAATTGAAAGATGGGGTTAGAAACTGGATTGGATATTAATTGTTGAAGTTGGATATTAGGTGAAGTTTAAATTGATCTTTTCCATTTCACTCTGGGACCACTGGCTTTACTTTTGCTCTGACAAAGGCCTCTGTCTCACACTGGATGTGCCCTTTGTAACCATTTCATTTTCTCTTTTGGTGCTTCTCACCTGTTTTGGCCTTCCTGCCTTGCCACTGAGCTCACTTCCAGTCAGTAGCTCTTGGAGAAGTCTGCTTTTCTATTATTTACCTCCCTGTGGCTCTGCCTACCTGGTTGATGGGGTTTTTCCCCAATGACACCTTTGCTTTCTCTGTTTTACTTTCTTCTCCATCTAAGTACAGGGCTGACTTTGCCAGCCCCCAGCCTTGCCCTGGCCTCATGTGTACCTTCCCTGCTCCTGTTTTCACACTGCAGCATGACTGGGAATATTTCTAGGAGCTGCTCTTTCAGGACACATTCATGCTCCCTTGCAAGAGGTGTTGCCTTCCTCTGTGTTAAGCAGATCTATGTTACTACTTTAGCTGAATCCTTTTCCTGAAAAACATTCTTCTGCAAAACTTGATTCAGTCCTCAAATCACTTTCTTACTGCATTTTTGCTGTTTCTTTTTCTGTGAAAATTGCTCTGGACTGTTTTCCTGTACATCCCATTTCTTTTTCTCTACAAAGGTGCAGAAGGTTTTCAGCTGCTGTCTTTCTCTGCACCTTCCTCACATTTCTCTTTGTGGTCTTCTAAACTCATCTGCTTTTTCTTATTTATTCCACTCTCCTCTGACTGTCCCCCTTAAGGTACATTTTAGTCTGTTACCATATTCAGAAAGTAAGTGATCAACTCTGCTTACTTTGGCTTGCTCTTAAGTCATTGCCAAATTTTCATTTATTTTCACCTTGAAGCTTTTTGAGTACATTGGTTGCGTACTTCAGCTTCATTTTTTCAGTTCCTTGTAGACAAACCCGTGTGAATGCCTCTTGTGTGAAATTTCTGGAATATTATTAACTTAACCAACTCTCTGAGCTAGTTCCTCTTCATTTTACCACCTCTGTCTTCTGTAGTAAACTGTTTATTCCCTTTAAAATCTTTACTTCCTCTTGCATCTGTTTGTCCTCTTTTAGGTTTGTGTACTATTTCTTCAGTAGCTACAAAATAAAGCAGCCACAAAAATCCTAATTTAGAATAAAAGAAATGAGATGGCTTTCAAATGACTTTTAAAAATTGTTCTCCTTTTGATAAATGAGCCCTTTTTTCTCAAAAAATCACAGCTAGCAGTGCTTACAGGTCAGTTTGCTGTACATTTACTATCCAAATTTAAGTGCAAAGGGTGACAAGGATGAGTACCAAAATCCTCTGATTTTGAAAGTGTAGGAAGATTTGATTCTAGAAAAACTATATGTTTCTTGGGGCATCCAATGCATGTTACAGAGCCAGTGGAGCTGTTTCAGGATCATTCCAATCTTCTGCTGCCAGCAAATACTTACTTTTAGAAGTACTGTCTGTATATGTATTCATGAGTAAAATATTGCAAGTGGTTTATCTGAAGTTTGAAACTTTGCTTGGAACATCATCCTTCTTGGCATATGTGCCCTTCATGTCTCAGCAGATACTTGGAACAAAATACGATTCTCCTAGGTATAGAACAAGAGCTCCCAAATAGAAGGTGGGTGGGAGGATTAACCATGAGAGATTCAGATGGGAAGACCAAATTGAAATGCTTCTGGAACATTTTGTTCTTGATTTGGGGTCTGAGTTCATTATGCTCTGTTTGGCTCAGAGAAAATAGTGAAGAAGCTCAAGGTGAGAAAGGGAGAGTCTGTCCTCTTGTTTGTGGTAGCTGAAGCTTCATACCCTTCTCTCAGTCTTGAGGTATGGTCAGGCCTTGTTCTGTAAGCCATGGAAATTGAGTTTATTTCAAGGTCACCAAAGCAGGTTGCTTCTTTTAAAGCATGATCCACTTGGCCTTGAAGAGGGCATGAGATTAAGTGACATTTTTTTGGGAAGGGACTTTTTTATTGCTTTCAAGTGTGGAGCAGAGCAAGCCTGACAGATTGTTAGTGCAGCAGAAATGATCTGATCCTCACTCTTGCAATGTTCAGTTAATTACATTGAGCCAGGCTGATTGGCAGGATGGCTTGGTGCTCTCCAGCAAGGAGAGCCAGGGTCACTCACTCAGTTCTTTTTGTGTATTTCTTGCTGTAAAAGATTTGAAATCTAGCTCTGAGGTTTCTGGACCTAAATTACCAGCACAGCCATTTAAGTAGCCTTTTATCATGAGCTCAGTCTTGGGAGAAGGTGCTCTATGTCAGCTCTTGCTGTGTTTCTAAAACTGATTTATTTTTCTCTGCTTTTCCTGCCAGATAGGGGAACCCTTCTGTATGTTTCTGTTTCTGTCTTCATAGTCTGGGAATTGTGTAACTTTACAAATCATTTGCCATTTTTGTGCTTTGAGATCTAAGGAATGTAAATTAATTGAAAAGGAATTCTCGTTTTCGTTTGTCCCAAGACACTGTGGCATATTTCCCTCTGTGCTTCTTGACTATCAAGACCAGCTTCCACATTTTTCTTTTCTTTCAGTCAATACTCATAAGTAAAGAGGAAAAAGTTAAGTAAAGGCAAATTACAGTGTATGGCCTAGGCTATCTGGCTACCCCTCATGTCAGTCACAACGAGGCCTCTGTGACAGAAATGTGCAGTATCTCCAAGATGTTTTTTCTGAGCAGTCTTATTTATTTTCTGAGTGGCCAATGAAATATATGCTACAAAAGTATGAGGAAGGGTTATATTTGTAGTATTTTATAACCTTTTTTATTTACATTCTGCTTTGACCTAAAGGTGTAGGGCAAAAGTGAATTATCAGAATGGCTATGGGTAGATGCCACTTATCACTGACCAGAACATTTCTTTCCTACCTAAAAGTGTCTCCTGTCTGTGGTGTAATATGTCACTGTTGCAATATGTTTATTCGTGTCAAACTATTGCATTACAACACAAACAGAGGCATTCTGATCTATAAAAAATATTTTGATCAGTAGTAACTAGCAGCTGCCTTTGTTCTATTTTTAAATAATTAAATACAATATTTCAGCTGTGTTAGATCATATGCTGTGCACATGTGCTACTACTGACAGGTCATGAAACTAAGTATAAAATTTGACGAGAGAAATCATGTCCTTCAAAGTATTTCTTTTAAATTTACTGTTACACTAGGTAACAGTAATATTTGGTTTTTGTTCTAAATCAGAACAGAAACAAACTTTGTAATTTACAAACCCCAACCTAACAAAAGTTCTGGGTTTTTTTAAAGTATCAGTGTAACACAACTTCAAATATAAATAATTGGAGACAACACATGTACAGGGAAATTTCAAGAGTAGGCTTTATTATACCTAATTTTAATGGGTATACTGTAGAAAGATACATAAAGCATGTGTTGATTATGTAATATTTCAGTAGAGATCAAGAGGCTGAATATAAATACAACAGTTCAGAGGCAGAAATAGCATCTGTTGGGAAATTTATTTTGATTTTCAGTCCTTAATGTCACCCATTTATTTGTGAAATACAAAACTGAAGTTACTGTGTTACTACTTGAAAACTTTTGTAAATGCTCTATCAGGTCACATGAAAACTAAGCAAAATTTAAGATTTCTTATTTACATTTAAATTAACCACATTTTAACAGCCAAGTGTTTGAATATTACATGCAACTTGAGACTGTTGTAATAAATAGAGAATGGACCTTTAGATTTCCACTTTGATTTGCATTAATTTCAGTACATGCCACCTGATTTTGTTCAGCTCTAAGTGTTCCTAAGCTTTTTGTAAGCAAAGCACTAAGTTTGCCACATGACCTAAGAAAAGTGAAGGTGAATGGATCTTGTTTGTGTTTTCAGTCAGCAGCTGAACACAAAGGTCATGCAAATAGAACAAATGTTGTCATCTCAGTCCTAAAAGTGGTGATACACTGTTGGAACTTTTTGCAACACTTCCATTAGAAAAGAGTGCAGTGTACCAGCATTTCCCAAAATCGCGATGCTCCTCAAAGCCCTTTCTGTGAATGCTCATGGAAAACAGAGTGAGCAGACAGATGTTTGCACATCTCTGTATTTGTGTTTAAAATTAGGCCCCTCATGCTAATCCTTTTGAAGGAAAGATAGTATGTTGCCTTTCCATTTAAAACAGTGCTTATTTAAGAAAATCCTCTTTAAT